TCACTGGTGAAGGTGTTTATAGACACTGTAAAAGGTCCGTGGAGATAGCTGCTATCCTAGGAAATACTTCTCACAAAGTTACTACCTGAGAATGTAGTTCAGATTTATGACCCCCAAGTCATTTTCTGAAATTTGACACATGACTATTTATCATTTGTTGGGCCAGGTGGAGGGATTGAGCCTGGTCTAACCTAACTTTACTGCATTTCCATGACTGTGTCTCATTCGCTTTTAAAATTCTGCCATGGGATACAGGCACCATAAGCTTGGGAGGAGGAGGACAAGGGAGACATCCTGACAGTGGAAAGTTGTTGGATGTGGGTAGCTTCTGCATGCCAGGTGAAAACCTCGTGTTGGTCAGGCGCTGTGACAAGTATAACTCCCCTGTGTATGGCAAAAGGCACACTCCACACAGCCGGAGAGCCAGACTTCCCTTTTGGCAAAGCACAGGGAGCTGTTAAGTGTGCCCAGAGGAAGAAAACCAAAACCCTCAGTTGACAAAGCAGTTCATAAGGCAGGACTCCTAATCTGCAGCAGTGCTGTTCATGTGAGGTTCTTGGTCCTGTGCCTTCCAACTAGAGCTGTTCCTGGTCCTTTCTGCTGCTTCTTCCATCTGGTCTGTCTGACTCCGTGTGATTGCAACAGATAGCTCCTGGGGACCAAATTATGGTGAGTGGTTTCCACTACAGCTAGTTCTGGATCTAGTATATATGGAGGAGTCTGTCAAGAGGCAAGGAAAGGTCCAGGTCCACTGATCTTTCAAAAATGCATGAGACAGTATCTTAGAGTGTAATGTGACTGTCTCTGGGGAGTATCTAGGGACTGTGACCTCAAAGCACTTGCAGCTGAAAGGGAGGCCAAAAGGGACTGGCAAAAAATCTACTCAGCTAACTGCTGACATGTGGTATCTAACATGGTGTGAATTTTACCAAAATAGAGATACATCCACAATATGCAGGATCAACTTTTTTCTTGAGGTAGTTTAATCGATCAGCATTTTATCTTGTAAAACTGCAGCATTTTTTATTTAGGCAGTTAGGTGCCCTGGAATGACAATGGCATTTTTTTAAATGAACAAATGTGCTTAACTTTTCTTTGCGGATGGTTTCATCCTATGTAGCAAACAGGGAACGGCCCAAGACTCCTTCATTTGTACTGAAACAAAATCTAATAGCATGTTGGGTGGCTTCTGTGACTATTTATGACTTAATGAAGAGAAAAATAAGTTTCATCTCTCAGGTCAAAAGTATTACCCACAAAAATCTGTCAGAGGTGGCAGGGTTCTCAAGTGGGACCCACCCCTGCCCCATTTCAGCTTAGCCTAGGGCCTTTAGTCCCTGCTCTTGTGATGCCATAGGAGTGCTGGTCTCTAACTCTGCCACAGTTCATGTGGCACCCTGACAGGAGGTTCTAATAGAAGAAAGGCTCTTGAATATATGAATATCTTAAGAAGCAAAGGAAACATATCACTAATGGTGGTTAAAATGGCTAAAAGTCACCCATTCACAAAGCTGAAGTCCTAGTTTCTCTGAGCACAAGCTAAGAATGAACTGTCTTGGGCAACGGGGAAAAGAAATAGGTTGAAGAATGTGTTAGGTCATACTGCAGTGTACCTGTGAAAAAGAATATTCTCCCAGGTGTAAACATTCTGGGCAATTTATTTCTCTCTGGGAATACTCTGGTATAAATCAGAATCTGTGACTTTACTGAAGTTAATTTAAATCAGGAGAAAAAGAATTTCTTTTATAATTGTTACAGGGAGAAAAAAGCTTACAATATTCAAAAGTAAACAAAGTATCAAGTACTTCCTTGATTTTCTAGCCCTTGTAAAATGCTAACTAGAGAGAAGCAGTTAGTGATGGATCCAGCCTTACATTTAGAGTCAGTAAACCCTTTTAAAACAACACATAAAATGAAAGCATTTATAGAAAACAGATGCATTATGAACTTTGTGTTCATATGAAAAGCAAATGGATGCAAGCAGAACAGTTAGGTTACTGCTAATTTAATTAATTTGCTTACAACAGCTATTAATTTCTTTCACTGGAATAAAGTCTAGTGTGTCTCTTAGTTTCTTCTTGCATCATTCAAACTTTATTTGGCCTCACTATGCCAGGTTCAACACCTTCCCTGCTAGGATTGCATCTAGGTTCTTTGTATTTGACATATTGAACAGCTGCTTCCAATTCTGGTCTGACTGACATTCTTGAAAAGACAGCCACCCAAAGTGCCCCTTCTCTCACTAATTCTAGCAGGAATTAAAAAAAATTCAAGCTGTTACACCTCCCCTCTCTCCTTGGTCTCAGCCTGTTCTTGTTGTCCATTTCCTGCACAAATTAGAGAACATCCTTCAGCCCCAACCCTGATAAGTAGCTTCCTTGTTAACACCAGTAAATGCAAAAAGGAAGGACTATAAAATAAAATCATCCTTAAACAAGGTATTATTTATGACTTCAATTTTTTTTTTTAAAAAAAATTTCTGTCCTTTTCTGTCCTTTTCACATACTGTAGTTATTTATACCCATTTACCAGCAAATCTAGATGGTTCTGTCCAGCATATACTTTGCAGGGGCATGGGTAAACAGGTGAAATGAAATGGACACCGTCAGTATATTAAAGTTTCAAGAGTGTAAAATTCAACCAAATATCAATGATAGACAATTTTTAGCAACATCATGTAGCTTTGTCAATGTGGGGAGGAAAGTAAGGTTGCTGTGGAAGTCATTAATTACTTGATGTACCTATACAAGGGATTTCCAAGAGAAACCGTGTGTTTAGACAAACTGTATGTTTGCATCGAACCTGTCTTGGGTTAGCCTCCTTGTCAGGCTGTTTTCCAACCTTCAGTTGTGATCCAGCTTGGAGGTTTGTTTTGCTTTTCAGTTTCCTGTAAGGCGTTGGATTTGGTCCTTGTTAGAAAAAGACAGAGCAATGTGAAGTTTTGCACTTCCAGCATTTGACGTGCTTTTTATCTGCCACTGACATCCTTAGCACAATACTGATCACTCAGGCTGGCAGGGGAACTGGGACAGGCATTGAAGCGTTCTTGAATTGAACTGATTATTAGACTTTCTATTATGTTTTTGTATTGCATTGTGCATAGCCCAGCTTGTAGGAATTTAGCAAATACTCATGCAGGAATTAGGCATATGCTTTATGGCTTCTGTTTTTTTCCTCTAGCACATTTAGATTACACCTTTAGGTCTTCACTGTACTTCTTCAGTTAGATCAGTGTTTTCTGGCATACCACAAGACTTGTAGAGCATCTGTGGAAATATCTGGACAGTCGTACAGTTAGCATATTTTTCCCTGAGGCCACAGAAAATTGATGTGATATCCAAGGCAACTCCTTCCAGTCCTCCATTCCAGACAGAAGGCCAGCTTGCAGTGGTATCTTGTTTTTCAGGAAACTGCCATGTAACTTCCCCTTGGAAAGTCTAATTTCCATTCAGAATTTTGTCAAGGCTTCAGGAGAGCAGAACTTCTCACAAACCAGAGCTTCAAGGTTTTGGTCTGACACGTTGTATTGTGACAGCTGAGATGCCAGATAAGATTAGAGTATTTTACAGAATTTGCAGTATTTTACTGAGCACATTTCCACTTTGCATCTTCTAGGCTTTACATGTAAAAGACAGCAGATCTGAACAATTCAGGGATCCAGCTTTTGAGGAAAGTAACAAGAAGGCTTTAAAGAAAAATGAAATCTACTTTGCCAGTGTAAAAGTCCTGTTCTTGACTTGAGCAAAGGTCCTCCTCCACAACCCAGTTCTTGCCTGGAGTGATGGTTATTTTAGTTCAGACCACCCACCCTCATCACAAGACCTAAGGATTTACAAAGTTAGAAGATCAGATAGGAAGGACCAAAAACTCTGGAATAGTGAGACATTCTTCAGTAGACTAAGCCAGGAAATTAAGTATAAAGGAGAACAAATCACAAATAACATGACTCCAATAACTGCTGTAAGAATCTGTTTCTGCTTTCTAGGGAATACTTACTTGAACAGTCCTGCAAGACAATGACTTTTCATTCAGCAAATACTTTTAATGTTCTAATTATAGTATTTGAAGCTGGTCTACACAGAAAATACCTAATTCCCCATTTCACCCAGACTTCCCCTACGCTCATGACCAACAGTTTTTTCCAGTGAAAGTTTTGGGCTAAATTCTCATTAGATTCTAAATCTTTGGGTCCCATAAGAAACATATGACCAAGCAGAGCCTTGAACCTGCTTTCTAAAATGCAAAAAGCACTATAGTCACAGAACCATCATTCTTCTTGGATCATGAATAGACTGGAAGTTTGGTCTAGGCTTATACACAGACAATGTGACATCGAAGGCAATTAAGCATTATCTTAAAAATAAACACAGTTCTTGTAAATGAGGAACTGAGATGCAGAATGGCCAAGAATAATATGAGACTGTAGCTGCATGTCTAATGCACAATAATGTAAGTGCTAACTGGATGTAGCTGCATGTCTAATGCACAATAATGTAAGTGCTAACTGGAAACAGAGGTAACGACTGTGTTCCTAAAACACACTGGAGGAATGGAATTAATTGGCATTGACTCCCTAGAAATTTTAAGGATAAATATAATATAAATTAAAACATCCATGACTGACTTGCCCTAACAGGAAGATACAAATAAACGTGGTTATCTAATGAAGAACAGTCTAGGTAAGATCCTGACACAGTTTATAAAGACTTCAGTGAAAGCAGCTGGAACTTTGCCATTAACTTCACTAGGACCAAAGTATTACTCTCTTGTCTCCAATTACTTAAAAATCAGTGTATATCAGAGGGTCCTACCTACTTGGATTTTGGCCTTAAAACCTCACAAAGTTTTGAACCTGAATTGGAGAATTCAACTGAATTAAGATAGTAGAATTGATCTGCCCCTTGGTTCCATATCTCTGCAACTCCACTGCAGTCTGTTTCATTACAACAGAAAACAAAACGGTGTTTTGATGAGGCTATGTACTGAATCACAAAGACGTAGCAATTTAAAGGGTTTTTTTTATTGTATTGCACACAGTATCTATGCAATCCATGTAGGTACTGTATTAAAGGATCCACATTTCCGAAAACATTGGCTGTTGCAGCACACATCACAAGCATTGTGAATAACCAGTGCCTTCTTCAAAAATTAAAATAATTGGTTGCAGGTTAAGCATATGTGGCAATAAATGAAGAAAAAACGCAAGGAGTATCAATACATATTTCTTTTCAAACACACAAATATACAAATTTCAGAAGAGCACCAATAATGCCAAGCAACTATTTTGATGAGATACTGTATGTGTAGGCTCTGCAGTAAAAAGCCAATATGCACACAAAAAAATATTTCAACTTTTAAAATAATTTAACCATAATATCTTGCATGTGTCACCTGTTTACAACATATCATTTCATATACAATCAGGCCCAAGCCTCAACTTGTGTAAAATTTGTGCATACTCATTTAAAGCAGCTGAGACTCTGGACCAGGTGTTCAAGCTGAAAGCGTCTTCAATTTGTTCACATGTGAATACAGAGTGGTAGTATAAGGCTGAGAAAATAGGTACAGTGAAGGTGTAACAGAAATGGTACTATGGAAAATGAAGGAAAACACTATGAAACCCTCAAACACAAGGTTCTAGAAAGAGGCCTACCTGTAAAGTGATGTTGTAATAATTTATATAAATGAAAAATATCAGTCTCCTTTCTGATGCTTAGAGATTCTCATATATTCAGAAGTAACCTGTAGAAGTGAAGTAACCAAATGTCACAAATCAGTATCATCCTCAAACTTTGTTTCTTAAGTTTCTGATCATTAATACTGGTACTTTAAAAGATTTTATATTTGCTGAAAACTGTTATTAAAATTTACCTTCCTGCTATAAGAATTTAGTGTAATAAAAATAATGAAAAACAATAGGTAAAAAAATATTTTTTTCAGAATATTTTTAGGAAACCCGTTAAACAACTGCAAATACAACTGATTTTTAAGTGTCTCTGCCTTTGAATTATGTTTCTTTTGTTTGTTTTTGTTTAAGTGAATCACTTATAAAGCAGCAAGGGAGTACCAGTTCTAAGATTTATTCTTGTCCATTACATTGAGGACCTCATCCAAAAGTGAAGGTCCCAAGTCAAGTTGTAATGAGAGAAGAGAGCCTGCAAGATCTGAAAGCGATTCTTCTGACTTAGTCTTTGTCTTGGTTAGTTCACATGAAAGTTGACTATCATCAAATAAATCAACTGTTTGCCAGTCAGTGCATCGTTCAGAAAAGCTGGATGAGTGACTGTCTCTACCATTAGTAAGAGGTGAAGAACCACCATTTTGCTCCCATATGTCATCTTTGTATGTTTCTCCATCCTTCATCTGTTTACTTTTCTCCTGCAATTTCTCTTCTATTACTGGCTCACAGCTAAGCCTAGGATTTCTTGATGACCTGATGGATTCTTGCTTTGAATTAAACGTCACTGGTGACAATAAGGGCAACATAAGGGCTTGAGAACCCCCAATGGCAGGAAGGGAAATAGCATTTTTGAGCACTGGTGATGGAGTTTCTGTAAACATGGATTCAGAGGTGCTGTTTGCCCTTAAGAATTCATTATGGCCACCAGACTGGCTAACTCTGGTTTCTCCTTCATTTCCAGGCAATAGCTCATAGTTGCCCTGCAAAAAGGAGATGTCTCCAAAAACATCATGTTGTCCCTCTTTTCCAATGTGTATGGTGTGACGAAAATCTCCAAGTGGTGGACTGATCATATCAGGAGATAAGATATCCCTTAGTTTGAATTTCTTCCCTTTTTTATTGTTAGCAGCTTTCAGGTAGATGGGTGTCTTGGCTGGCATCTTGCTTGTAGTTTCTGAGAGAGGAAGTAAAAAAAAAAAAAAAAAAAAAG